GGCATGCTTTGTTATGCCCTCAGGAGGGATGGGGATTTGGCATCTTTGGTTTTATGGGGGCAGGAAATCACAAGAGAACTTTACGCAGTAAGGAATTTAGTCACATTAAGAAACCATGACGTCTTGTCGACACCCTGCAACAACTGATCTGGGCTGATCAARGTCAGGGCACGGCTAGYTCACAGGTTGAATCGGGTTTTGTGAGGGARAAACACCRAAGAATCCATAGAGAAACCCTCGAATCAAGGGAGAGATGCARCAAWCTCTACTCAGATGTGAAGACGAGTCCACACAAACAGAACCCAAGAACCCAGATGAGAAGTGAGTATACTACCGCTCAAGACAAAGGTTGCTTTTGCTTACCTAACTGACAGCCACAGTTCCAAAAGGTTTGTGGATTAGGATTACTAGARTCGATTCTGTACCCAGCAGGGTAGATGCGACACAGCTTCTGACACGTGTACTTGACGAACTGCACKGAYTTGGTGTCYGTATAGCGATAGGCTTTGTTCTCGGGTATCGATACCACCTCCAAACGATTTTCTACGATATGATAACAGACACATAATGTTGGACTTCTTAACTACGTAAATCCAAAAGAGTGGTCAGAAAAATTGCGCATGCGTACTCTGGATTCCACTTGCTCTTTCTACATTGATCTACGAGTTCATCCACTTGGGAGGCTAGTTTTGATTTCATTTTGGTTTTTGTTTTTGTTTTTGTTTTTGTTTTTTTTTGTTTTTGCTTGTTTTTCTTTTGTTTTTGTTTTTGTTTTTGCTCTTTTCTTTGTTTTAACCAGGACCATACTTTCAGACATCGAGTGCTGAACCGTCGTATGGCAGCGCGAAGCATTTACGGCTACGCCGGAGATTTCGACCCCGACACCGCTATCCGAGGACTTACAGACTGATCAGGAAGCTCGGACTAAGCCTAAGGGAGAGGTTAGTCGGCCCCTAGACCGTAGATGATTAACCCCTTGCTATGACCAGCATGCACAGTATGTCACTTCTGTCGCTAATAGGTTAATGTCCATAGTCACCCCCTTCCATGTGGGATGCGTTTTGTAGAATCAGTGCGCAAACTCGGCGTGAAAAATCAACATCGTGACATACCATCTTCAGTCAGATCCAGGCCTTTAAAGCTGCTGGACGGAGTGTAAGCCACGAGGTCAGACAAATGACGACATAGTCTGATAGTTTTCCTGTGGTTTTGCTCCTATTTAAATCAAACAATAATTACTAGAGAATAATAAATCACATCTTCCCAGCACAAATTACTGCGGCATACTTACTCCTCGGCTCCAGGTTCGTTTTCTCTTGATTCGTTGCTTTGACTTCGGCTGCAGATAAAGTATTTATAGATATTAAATATACAGATAAGTGTGTATGGCGTAATATATGCCACTTTTATGTATTCAATAAAACCAAAAAGACTTATCCCATACACGGCCAACTTTGTCCTAAACGGGCACCATTTGATGGTCCCTACCAAAACCTCGATATTTACTGTCGAAATCCTCATACGGGCACCTCTAAAAGGCAATGGTCTCAATCGGAGAGAGGGTTGAATGCAGACCTCAAATAAAACATTCCGGACATGTTTGTTTTATCAGTTTATCATGAATGAAACCTTGTAATCCCTTCAGTGACCAAAGAAGACTGTTATCAATGGAAGCAATTAAGATTAATCCTTAATTTACAAAAACTAATCTAATGAAATACCTTTGATTTGTCAGAGCTAGAAAAACTTTTGCTTTTCTTGAGTGCTTCTTGTTTCTCGCTTTTTCTGTATTCTTTAGTCGAAAATGACCTTGATAACTGAAAATAATATGGCACATGTTTATTTTAAATCA